TTTCTCTTTTTTTTCCTTTTAATTTTTTTTAATATTTTTTTTTTTGAGAGAGAGAGAGAGAGATACAGAGTGTGAGTAGAGGAGGGGCAGAGAGAGAGGGAGACACAGAATCCAAAGCAGGCTCCAGGCTCCAAGCTGTCAGCACAGAGCCCAACACAGGGCTCAAACTCTTCAACTGCGAGATCATGACTTGAGCCGAAGGAGGATGCCTAACCGACTGAGCCACCCAGGCGCCCCAGTTTCTCTCTTGCTTTCGATGAAGTCCGGCAGCTGCCATTTGTTTCTCAAAATACCATGTCTTCACATTTATTTTTCTTCTTTCAAGTCACAAAGCAAGACATTTTTCACTGAACCTAAAAGTGGATTTTTTTAGACTAATATTCATTGAGTGCCAACAGGCACCAGACACTGTGATGAGCCCTTGGGTGCCTTTATTCCATTTAGTCTCCATAATAATCTTACTGTTGTTATTACACCTGCAGATGAGGAAATGAAGCCTGGAGAACTTAGCCGAAAACCCTCAGCTAATACTGTGTAGCGCTGAGCTGGCAACCCAGGGGATAGTGGTTAAGAGGTCTGATGTGTTAACCACTAACCACTCTACATACTGATTCTGACCTTAATTTTCATGTTCTTTTGTTCTCTTCCTCCCCTGTAAACTTGGAAGAATAAACAGGTGATCACATACTTATTAAAAGGTCCCACATGTACGTACTCGTAAAATACATGTGGATCGGAAGGATTGATTGACAGGACAGTAAGTGAGGCCACAGCCCACTAGCGTTTAAAAAGCAGAGTTGTATGAAAAGAGAAAGATTGTTTGGAACTGATGCTGGTGTATCTCAGGGCACTAGAATGGAACTGGGGAAAATTTAGAGAAAATGCCATTTTAAGTATTAAACCTTAAAGGTTTTGTAGGGCATAATTATGAATTGGCTACAGGTACATGAATTCTAGATTAAAAAGCAAGAGTTAAGTTTTTAGATAATAATTTCATTGGCTCTTATGGTTTTTAAATAATCTTTAATTTAGATTTGCAAAATTTCCCCCTGCCAATATTTACACTGTATATAGACACTGGAACATGACTTTTCTGAAGCTTACGGGAGCTAGAAGTCACTCTATTCTTAAAAAATAATACCTGATCATAGTTTAATGATTAATGTCAATTAATGTCACATTTTGTGTTTCATTATGAACATAAATGATTTAATGAGTATCTTTCCTTATATTATAATCATGTCTGGCCAGTTATCCTTTTTTTTTTTTTTTTTTTTTTT